CATGCGCACCAGAGGAAGGAAGGTGTGAAGAAAGGGAAGGAAAAGGGGCGTTTACGGCTTGGGAAAGAAATGTGGCGGAAAAATTGTAAATTAAGCACATAGTCAGAGGAGGATTGTGCAAGACATTTCCAGGAGAATCGGAGCAAACTTTGTAGACATGTACGCATTACCAGTGATTATATGATACCACAGAGAGGAAAGAGAGGATGACGACAATGCCTTCCACTATGAAGCCTAATTTTCCTCGCGTATCAGTTCGAATATTTACAAAGTGATTAAAATATGCATACATCACGCTTGTTACATGCGAAGCAGCTTTTTCGTGCCATGTTCCGGAAGAGATAGGGGTACCCGGCCCTCGTGGTAACCATGAAAGTAGAAATAGATAGGAAAAAGAACGAGAATCATGAGCATCGCCTAAGTCAGCATTTCACTTTTTTTTTAAAAAAAAGGGCATCTCCTGTAGTAAACCGCCAGGGTCAAGCCATACCCAAATCCCAAGGGTGTTTGTCGCACGGCGGAAGTAGTATGTCTCGAGCTAGTGAGAAGATCGGATCTGTCGTCAGTGAGAAGATCGGATCTATCGTGGAACACAACCACGTATGACCTGCGAGCATGCAACGTGGGCTTGAAAAATACCGTGGGCTGGCCTATTGGTTCCCGTGTGCGCGTTTCCATCCCAGAAACATTAGTGTGATCATATGTATTCTACGGTAATCACATTCGAGTATTGCTGAGGACTGATTTCGAGCGTTCATGTTTCGGCAAAAATGTTTTCTTGTCATGCAGTCTCACGCTGGGTCGAACCAAACATCTATTTCGACAGAAAATGACCACACACACGAGAAGAGACGCTCATTTGTTGAGGATGGCGGCCGTCCTTCTTCTACTCTTTGGCGGCAGCCAGGCGTTTTTCACGCCTGCTCGTCAGAGTTTGCGTCCTGTGATTCGACGATCAAGTCGCAGTCGGGGAGCGCTGTCGGCTGTGGACGCGAACGACCTTTTTCAAGGCTACATGGGGCTTATCCACACACACCCTTTGATTACGAAATGTGCAACAAGTGCTATGATTGTACCATTAGGTGATCTCTCGGCTCAAGCAATCGAGACATACAAGGCCAAGCAGACCGGGGCAAAAGGAAACGACGAGGAAGAGGACTTAGGAATCGACTGGAAGCGCGTGCTGCGCTTCCTCATTTTCGGAGCGACACTGCAGCCCATTTGGAACCATTACTACTTCCAGTGGTTCGACCATCTGATTCCCCCGCCCTCCGACCCCATCAGCCTGACGAACGTGCTCAAGGTTGCCCTCGATCAAGGTATCCAAGCCCCGATCTTCACAGTGGTCATTTTCGCCTATTTGGACTTGTTAGAAGGGAAAAACCTGGAGGAAACTAAGGCACAAATCAAGCGGGATTTCTGGCCGTGCATTACAACCAACTGGTGGGTATGGATTCCCATTACTTGCGCGAATTATGCCTTTGTCCCCCCCGACCTCAGGGTCTTGTTCGTGAACGTCGCCTTCCTGGGGTGGTGTGTCTTTTTGTCCCTGCTGGTCAATAAAAAGGATGGAGAGCCTACGTCACAAACAAGGCCATCGGAATCGTAAGATTGCTGTGAGGGATGTATTTTACTTTTTCGTGCAGGGGTGTACAAGTAGAGGTGTTCGTGTGCGTGTCTTGGAATATAACCGAAACAAGCGACCATCAAGGGTCGGCGCGCGCCGCCGAGTGACACATACAAAGGTTGATTTATTCAAATTGTCAGAGTAAGCTTAGCTATGGCGTTGGCAGATGGTGATCCGAAGACGGGGTCACGGTAGCAAAAAAAGAAGAAAAAATCTTGGCGATTGACCTTGACGTCATGTCTAGTTCAGGCGTATTTCTTTCGGTTTGGGGTGTCCGTGCCTGGAGAACATGTTTGAAACTCGGAATGGCTCGGGGAGTGGTGAGTGATGGGAATGGGGATCGATGCATCACAAAATATAGGGGACCAGACGGGCATTGTAGGTCTGGTCAAGCTCGAGGCTAAGCTCGAGAAGCACGCGATCTCCCAGGTAGCACATAGTACGCACTAGTGAAGGCGCTCATGCTCTCCACTTTGGCCTTCGCACACAAGTAAGTCGTTTTTGTAGTCTGCCTTTATTTGCAGTGCGAAGACACGGCCATTCAATCATAGGCGGCTGAGTCATAGCCTTGGGCAAGTCTGTTGACGTGGATAGAGTGTCCTTCACCTCATGCAGGAGGGGCACGGGAATGTGCGCGTCACCGCGCCAATTTTGGTGCTTGTCCTTCAAACAGGCAGAGTCGATAGGTTCACGGTACAAGACGGCCTTCTGTCCAAGGGTCGTTCTATCTAATACAGCAATAGCACTAGCTGGGGCCATGGTGGATCTCCTGAGAAATTCGTGAGGAGGTAGGAGCACCTGTCAAGCGGGATGATGAATGAGGACCACCGATACGAGGAAGACTTCCGATATGAGATATTATCCACCTTTTAATTAAGCAGTTGATGTATGCGTTCGTCCACTTAACAATTTTGGAGCGATTGTATCCCCACATATGGGCCGTTTGCCCTTTCACCGTTGACGGGTGTGCCTCTCGACTGATCGTAATCGCAAACATCAGTTGTCCATCAAGCCATCTAATATTTCGTGAATGACGGTTAAATCCGACAAAATGGAGGAAATAATTTAAGCCATACATGTGGAGGCTTGGAGGACAT